AAGACGGGAAATACGTATAGGCAAAAACAAAGATGACGGCATTGCCAAATGGGCGCTGGAACGTATATTCGTTGCTATTGGTCTTATTTTGACCTATGGGGTGTCAAATGAAAGCGTTAATGACACTGACACACAAGACACACACGTTTGGCTTCTGTCTGAACGTGACATTAGACACAGAACGTGACAGTCGACACAGGACGTAACAGTTATGTGACAGTCGATACAGAACGTGAAATGTCACGTGAAATGACGTGACATTTGACGCAGGACGTGACATTCAATATAGAACGTGACATTCATGTGTCAGTCAACGCAAGACGTCGCTTAATATAACACGTGACATTCTACATAGGACATATTCAGTAGTAATATGAATCCCATCGAGTACATACATAGAGTAATAGAATTTCAAAGAAAACTTATTCAGTTAAATAAAGACATTAAATCATATGAAGATATAAAACAAATTAAAAGGTAATAAGATAGCCTACATATTGAGGACACAACATATACTGATTTGAAGGCTGTACGAATAGAAAATCCATAATTAAAATACTGGGTGGTCATAAAGTAGTTGATGTTCTATGAGTGCTACCACTCTTAATCTATTCGCTGAAAATATGATTTTATATCTGTGTTAAATTGCTAAATTTTACCATACCGACCATAAACTTTTACCTACGCTGTATACAAAAAATACCGTCCCTTCGAGAATTAATTACGTTTTACAAAATAAATATTAATAACACTTTTTTCTACGTTGTATTCAATTTAATTATATTTTTATATTGTTTCCCTGGAAGTTTATCACACACGCATCCACACAACCACGGGACAATTTCTTCAAAAAAGACATAGATAGAAAATTGGACTTCACAAAACAATACATTAAATAATTGTTTATTTATAGTAGGGGTCCAAGAACCTTAGAAAGTTATTCCGGCAATAACTGCAGATGGCAGATGGCAACAACAAACGACAGTTGCAGTTGCCATCGCGCCAGTTGTCATTGATTTACAGTATTAATTTGTATTTTTTATTAATTTTGTGTAAGACTGGATTTAACATCTGCATGTAACTGCTGCGGTAAGATAGCCAAGCGGGATGGGCGGCCGGATTCTCATTAGCTTCACTGTCAGTGGTTCAGTGGATGTGAGGTCGAACCCCAGCTCGGTGTTCAGAAAACAAAAAGGGTAACGCAGCAGTGTAAAATTCTAAAATGAATCTGCGGCTTAGACTAGAATCTGGTGTCTGATCGGCCTATGGTGGAGCAGTACGGCAATGGAGCAGTACGGCAAGAGATAAGGGCTTGCGGCTCGGTGATACTCCTTCATAGAAAGAGAATGTTCCGTGTCAAAAGGATCTACAAAATATTCAGGTAGTGCATGATTTAGAGCATGATTTAGAGCATTATTTAAATGTAGATTTCCAGTTTAATCAGAATGAATTAAGTAGAGAAATTTTGCCAGAAAATACTTAATTCCACGTAATGAAAAATTGGTCGGACGTACAGAATAATGGCAATATAACTCATTATTCTGCTGCACAACCAATACAAAATAATGATATTTTGTATCAAACACGGAGCATGCTGGAAGATTATTTTTTAGAAAATACTAAAGAGTTGACACACCCTCTAACAGATACGGACGAAAAATCACAAACGACAGTTAATAGATGATCCGAACTTTACCTGCCATTCAGATTTAAATAGCAGCGTAGAAAGCGATGACGAAACAACAGCAGTTCGAAGGAAAAAGAATATAGACGTTCCTACTCCTTTAGCTAAATTTAGAGGCAATTAAAAAACAAGTCGATCCAGAAAACAGAGAAAACTAGCTAAAGTATTACGAAATACAGGCAAGTCATATATAACAGAAAAGGGAAAGGAAAGGAAACAATAGCAGCAAGAACAATGAACCCGTTAAACGACTGCCGCCGTAAGTGTAAAATAAGGTTTTCTGATGACAAAAGACGTTCACTTTTTAATGAATACTGGCAACTTGGAGACCTTAATAGAAGAGCAAATTTTATATCCTCTTTAATTTGCATAGTGGATAAAAAAAACTGTTCGAGTAGGAAATAATTCTGACAGAGTACGAAAATTTTCATGTAAATATGAAGTTTTTATTGACGGGAAGCGAGAAAAAATATGCAAGAAATGTTTAATTGCTACGTTTGGTAAAACAAATGTGAATTCACCGAAAAATAAATGGTCAGAACAAGTTTTAAATGAACTTGTTGCACATATCCGAAGATTTCCTGCATACGAGAGTCATTATTGTAGACAAACAATATCTAAATTATACTTACAATCTGATTTGACTATCGCCAAAATGTATCGCCTTTATAAAGAGAACACTGAAATAAAAAATTGTGTTTCAATGACAATCTACTCTGCAAAATTCCATGAACTAGGGCTCAAATTTAAAAAGCCCCAAAAAGATACGTGTTCTAAATGCGATAGTATAGCAATTAAAATATCATATGCAGAAGAAACTGAATCTTAGAGCAGAAAAAGCATTACGTAGCAGCTCAAGAAGCGTATAACGCAAAGTCAAGTGATAAAACTTTAGCCATAAATGATCCAACAACTGCAGTATTTGCTTTTGATTTGCAACAATGTTTGCCAACTCCGTATTTAAAAACATCCATTTTAGTTTACAAACGGCAACTCTGGACCTACAATCTAACTGTCCACAATTTAGTTAATGGTATAGCTACTTGCTATATTTTGAATGAGTCTGTTTCAGCCAGAGGAGGAAATCAAATTGCCTCATGTTTGTACCGACATCTTATGGATCTTCCATCAACCATAAAAAGAGTATGTTTATATTCGGATACATGCCAGGGCCAGAATAAAAACAGTCACGTGTCAGCAATGTTTATGAGCGTTTTAAAAAACAAAAGTACAATAGAGTATATTGATCACAAGTTTCTTGTAAGTGGTCATACACATATTCAATGTGATGCAGATCAATATGTTATTGAAAAGGCGAAGAAGAAAACTACAATGAAAATTATCCATCCGTATGATTAGGTACAACTTATAAGAATCTGTAAACAAAAGAATTCTTTTACAGTAAAAGTAATGGAATCCAACGATTTTCATAATTTTGCAGCATTATTTAAAACTGATTTGATACAAAAAAAAGTAACTGAGAGTGGCGAAAAGTGTCTTTCGAAAGATCTGCAGTGGGCACATTAGTGAGCATATTAAGACTTAAAAAGTCTTAATATATGAGAATAAGAAAAATAGCTATAAGCACAGACAAATGTACTCTTGGGGGATGTACCGATACAAAGGGTGAAGAAATACAAATACCTGGAATCCTGGATTTTAGAAAATAATTATCAAACATCAGAAATAAAGGGTAGGATAGAAATAGCGAGAAATGAGTTAGTAAAAATATAAAGGATTCTCTGCAATATGAACCTTAGGCTACAACTGAGAGTAAGAGCCCTGAGATGTTATGTGTTTTCGATACTAAAATATGAACATAAATGTTGGACACTCAAGCCAGAACACATAAATAAGCTACAGTCATTTGAAATGTGGTATTACGTAAAAAATGCTTAGAATACAATAAAGGTATAAAAGAAAACGAAAACAGAAGTATTGCAAGAAATGGGCAAAATATACGAAATACGATATGTGGTGCACGTATTAAGGGGATAATGGAATAAAATGATAGTAATTATAATATAGAGAAAGATAAGAGAAGGAAGGGTGTCTAAAGAAGGAGAGTGTGATGGTTAAAAAATGCTAAGGACTGTTTTAAAATCAGTTCAAAAAAACTCTTCAGAACAGCAGTAGATAGATTAAATATGGTAATGATGATTGTATTCCTACGTCCGATTGTAAATTGGCACTTAAAGAAGATAATTAAAAGTCTTTTATTTGATGTTTCATAAGAGTCTCTTTTCGGTCAAGTTAAGTACAATGGTTGTGTATGATTTATTTTAAAGCAATAAGTCAATAGCAAATCGTTGCCATGTTCTTCTTGAAATAAACCTTATGTTGTGACGTAACTCAAATATTTTTATGTGGAATACCCAACCTCAGCTATTTTATGCCGCCTTAACTGAAGTGCCTTCTGCTGACTTCAGAATTCAGAATCAATAAGACTGCTACGTTTACTCTTCTGCGAAATTCGATTTTGTCATTAGAAATTCTCATTAGAATTAGAATTTCTAGTATCATAATTACCTAAATTAATAATAATTTTTTTTTAAAATTGTATTGTTGTATTTTATACAATTAGACTACAACCCCATGCGACATTTTTAATGGGTTATTTGACCCAGCATGAATCACATATAAATCAATACTACAATATGTAATAACAACTTTAGAAACTATGCCGCCAATTCTTATTAATACAGAAAACATGGAGTTTAAATTAAGGGTTGCACCTTAGATTTTTCACCCCCGTCCTAGCCAAAGTGTACGGCGTTGCAAAAAAATTACCGATTTGAAACTTGGTGTATAAATGTTGTACTGTGTCAAATTACCGGAAATGGGGATAAAGTTTTCCAAAAATAAAAATTTTTGTCTGGTCCTGGTACCAATATTTTTGTACGGAGTTAGGTCGCAGTTCATCATTTTTGTATTGGTTACCAAAGTTACCGCCTTGAGTGGTAAGTTTATCTTAGCTGTGACACACATGTGCCGTTAAGAATTGACGGTGTTTTGTAAAATAATCTTTAATTATGGTTTACAAACCGTGGTGTGCAATTGTTTGTTTCTTACTTTTCGTCTAAAATTGCGGAATACATAATCAAATGCGATTTGGATGCAGACGAAGATGTCACCTTGTAGTGGTTATTGTGTAACCACAGTTATTTTGGTTAACGATGCAGTAGAGATTTTTTTTTGTCCTATAAATTTAAATTTGTTGTATTCATTATCTGCCTAGTAACACAGAAACTCTTTTCTCTATAATTTTTGTTTTTTAAATGCCTAAATAAAATATGTGGATATGATTAATAAATTAGTTAGAAGTTTTAAATTATTTATTAACAGGAAAATCCGTTTGGAGTAAAATTACAAGAATTTGACCTAGCTGCTCCTGAGACATTGATGTTAGACCACTTCCAATTGGAGCAACCTCCACTTCCACAAAGAATGTAAACTTTTACTGCGTATGGACCAGACATCGTTCCATAGATATTATTAATTTTTAAGTCTTTAACTGGAATGTTTCCCAAAGGATGTCCGGTTGATCCATCGTTGGTATAGTCTTCTTGTACATTAATGGCATAAAACGAGATTCCTAGAAAATGGTTTACAACATTATAACTTATTAGTAAACGGTATGGTCATGGCAGATAGAATGGTAGACATTTGATAACGATAGAAATATTTTACTTATTTTTATATAGTCTGTAGATCAAAGTGGTTAACCTTAATTATTTGTACTGTTTAAGAATAAGTTTTCTAATAAACAAAAGCAAAGTTTTATAAGTAAATAAATATTATTGATATATATATATATATATATATATATATATATATATATATATATATATATATATATATGCCTTAATCTGTATCATTAAGTGGACGCAGTTAGAGAGGAGAGGCATATGTCCAGAAATGGACGACAGAAGGCTAAGAAGAAGTGTACACCAAATTTTTTAACACAAATTTAAATGTGCTGGTTGATTCACGCAAGTCTAGCATAGTCTATCATCTTTATTTTTAACGGAACACATTGTATATTTTTATGTTTTAAAATCTCTCTAACAACCTAATCTCTATAAATTGTATTACGTAAGGTGTATTATGAATAATAAAGGGTGAAATTTTGAAATTATATATTTTTTATCAAAAAATTCATACAAACCCTACATATTGATACCCTACATAATATACTTTTTTGAGAGGAGATCGTCAAGTACCTTCTAAAAACATAAACATACAAACACGTGTAACGTGAATTACCCTGTACATGCCTAAAAAGCGCACATCTAAATTTAAAAGTTTACTTGCCCCAGCGTTTCTCATATTTTTTTTAAATAAGGTCACGAACAATGTTATTCCATTAGTGGTTTCCAGATTTAATTATTTTAAAATTTCACTCTTTATTACTTATAATAGACCGTTATGATATAGTTCGTTGAGATCATATTGTTAACTAACTTTTAAGATATAAAAATATACAGTGTGTACCATTAAAAATACAGCTTATGGATTATGCTAAACTTGCGTTAATTACCCTGTACATTTAAATTTACGCTTAAAACAGCCCCTAGACGATCAATATTATTGTCAATATATTAGACAATAATTTATATTACACAATATATTGATCGTCTGTAGATTACATTGAATGATTGAGCAATATATATTGTGTCAATCAATATGAGTTTGATTTTTATTCAGCAATATTGTAAATATTGCTGCGTCTGTGAGTAACATTGCGCAAGAATATAGTACTGAAATTTTAAAAAATTAACAGTACGATCAATTGGTTCAAAAATACTGAGAATATCATCCAGATGCTAATAATAATTTGTAGTTAGTGAAAAAATTTAATTTGTTGAGCACCAACTTTAGAAAAGAATTACATCATATAAGGGACTATAAAAAAAAACGGTTTAAGAGGAGACTATGTAATTCAACCAAAATTGTGATATTTTAGCGAAATGTAGTTTCTCGTGGTTCAGGACAAACCTAGTGTTTCAAAAATACTATACAAGAAGAGGATAATGATAAGGAAAAAGCAGATAATAATATAAACAATGTGGACAGTTGAAATACTATTTCAACAAGTTTTAAAAATCAGTAGGTTCGCTAATTCTTAAATCATTTAAGAAGATAAATTATACCCTCCATAAGTCTTCCCCCCTAGTGAACACCGTTATTTAAGACAAAGATGAAAAACGCTCGGATCCGTCAAATTTTATTTTAATAGAGGTATTTTATAACATAAAAAAATTGTCACCCCTTCCATCCTCTTCACTTGACAGCTACCCCTCTGATTTTTTAAATAGCAATGGGGGTCGTGCGATAGTTCGTTGGAAAGGGTTTAAAAGAAAAATTCTAAAATCTGTCACACTTTACTTTAACTTCAAGGATCTGTTTGTTAATAACGATTTATTGTTTGGAGACACACTTTGCAATACAGCAATACAAAAATAGGTATACTGTATTTGCTTTAATATAAGACATTCGGTATAACAAAATTAATTTATTTATTTTTCTTGTACGTTTATACCGAATTTTTTTTTTTTTTTCAGAATAAATACTTTTATGTCGTTAAAACATATCGTGGTTAGAACAATTTTTTAAATAATCTAGTTGGCGTTTCTAGTTTTTGACAACTGTCATAAAAACCAACCAATAAGCACTGTTGATTGTAAAGAATATTGACAAGAACTTGAGATTTGGTGCACTTTAGTGGTCACCTGTAAATTTTTAGTATTTAAAAGTCAAAACAATTGAAATGTCACCACCTCGTAGATTAGTAGACAAATGTGAAGCAATTTTAATATTTAGTGAAGCAGGCCGTAACTACCATGAAGCTGTGAGAATATTTAATGTACGTTTTCCGAATCGTCCAATTGATCGACATTACTCACCAAATTTTGTGAAACTGGTTTTGTCAAAAACAACAAACGGGATGGTACAAAAAAGACTTCTGAGGAAAAGCAAGTAGTATTCTTTTCTTGCAAGTAGTTTCCTTTTTCTCAATTTGTAGTAAATCCATCCAGTTCAACTAGAAATGTTGCTCGGGAATGCGAAGTAAGTCACAGAACCATCTTAAACACTTTAAAAAAGCAAAAATTTCATCCCTATAAGATAAAAATGGTGCACGAATTGACAGAGGATGATCCAGATCGACGACTGCAATATTGTGAAACTATAGATAATATTATTTCACAAGATCCAAATTATTTAAGACATATTTGTTTTTCCGATAAAGCTACATTCTGATGAAATGGTCATGTACATCGACAAAACGTAAAATATTGGTCTGACGAAAACCCTCGATCGTTTCGAGAGTGTCATACTCAATTTCCCACTAAATTACATGTTTGGGCAGGTATACTAGGGGATCACATTATAGGCCTTTCTTTTCTCGAAGGCAATTTAACGGGGAAAAGCTATCTTAATCTATTTGAAACAGAAATAATTCCTGCAATTATTGATGTGCTTAGAAACATTTCAGGCGAATTTACCCAAGATATTGTTTTTCAGTAAGATGGAGCTCTTCTCGTTACGATGCTCGTGTTCGAATTTTTTTAAGTAATTTATATCCAAGAAGATTGAAGGACGTCGTGGATTTATTGAGTGGCGACCAAAATCACCAGATCTTACTCCTCTAGATCTTTCCCTATGGTATTACCTTAACTCCAAACTGTATGGGAGCCAGTTGACGACACTTGATAAACTTCGTCAAAGAATAGTCAAAGAATATAAGAGGATTGATATGCAGATCTTACGAAGGGTTAGCGAGGCAACGAAACAAAGAATCTACTTCTGCCAGGAAGTAAATGTAGAACATTTCGAGCATCTCCTGCAGTAATTTTATGTTTTCTTTAGGATAATTTGCCAGTTCCTTTACTTTTAAAGATGTAATTTTCGACATTATTTTTTGTATATTTTCTTTTTTTAATAAAACCGTTATGCCATACAAAATTTCAAACTTATACATTTTTGTATTCTTTTTTTCAAACCTCTTCCGACGAACTATCGCACGATCCCCATAGCTATTTAAAAAATCTGAGAGGGTAGCTGTCTAGTGAAGGGGATGAAAGGGGTAACAATTTTTTTATGTTATATAATAATTCTATTAAAATAAAAATTGACAGCTCCAAAGCGTTTTTACCTTTATCTTAAATAACGGAGTTTACTAGTGGGGATAAGCCTTAATATCCACGCTGTATATATATATATATATATATATATATATATATATATATATATATATATATATATATATACAGATATTAATATATACAATTACAGACATTTTTATACATATATAAACTTACCTATAAGCTTAATATTATCGTAAGTTATGCTGGTGATTTCGCCCTTTTTATTAGCATCTGGTATAGTTTTAATGTGAATGGCATTACGTGAGTTCTCCAGTATAGAGTTTGTAAAAGTTACGTTGTAGACTGTGTTCATTTCATAGGTACTATATAATCCTGCTGCAATACTTAGTCCATGTCCTCCAATACAATGAAGGTTTGTGAATAATAAATGTTGACCTTGGTTTACACAGATACAGTCATCTTGGTTTATGACTGTACTGTCTTTTATCGTTACTTTGTCGGATCTTGCAATATCAAAACCGTCAGTATTTATTCCTCCTTTCTAGACGAAAAAAAAAAACTCAGTCAGGAGTAGGTTTAATAAAATAAGCAACCAACCGTGTTGTAAGGTTTAAATAATAATATCTTTAAGGCTAAATAAAGAAAAATATTATATGTTTCTGGGTAAAGATACTTAGGTTATGTTATTTTGCCATTATTGGATCTTTAATGCAATATTTATTAAATGACTGTATCTGTATGGCGTTTTATTTATTTGTGTGAAACAAGGAAACACCTGTCATTAACACTCTTTGATTTTGCCATAGCTTACGTAGTCAGAAAAATCAATAAAAGAGCACTTAGAACGGAAAAAGTGCAAATAACATTATTTTGACGATATTTTACCTTTAACCAAAAATACGTATTGATCCAGTAGCGCACCTAGAATTTTCCTCTGGGGGGGTTTTGGTTGGGCACCGAAATTTTTTGATACCACCTCCACCATTTTATGTCCTTAAAATTGTGTCGGAACAGGGTCCGGGTGGGTTTTAACACCCAAAACCCCCTTGGGTGCGCCACTGAATTGATCATATATTAAAACAAATTAGTAGCAAGAGAAAAAACAATGGTACTAATAAAAAATCGAGTAAAAACTACTACAATAGTAAGATATGATCAAACATTTAAAAAAAGTATATAAAAATACATGTTATATGAAGTTAAAAAGTTTAAACATCCTATGATTATTATTAGCAAATTAAAAGAAAAAATAATTGCAGCGAATAGAAAATAGAATCGAGACACCAAAATAAAAATAATTCTAAAATACATTACTAAATTATTAATTGAAAATAATGTTACATATTGTTATATATTCTAGTTATATAAATAAAAAGAATTAATATTAATAACAGCAGATAATTAATATAATAATTTTAATAACAGCAGAGCAAATGTTTCTATGGATAATAAATGTTTCTAATACTTTATTTTTAATAGATCTTTAAAAAAAGTTACCTTGGATGTATGTAGTATATAGTGAACTGGAACATAATTTTCGTAGTTATAATGGCGACACATATAAAATAACAAAAAATAATTAAAAAAACTTACTAGAAGCTGCAAAATATGTAAATGTTAACGAAGACGTAAAATTACTTTTTTTATGTAAAATGTATTTTAAATTACAAATTCTAAATCAAAATATTAAAACAGTAAATTCAAAAATTCAATACAAAATATTAAAGATAATTACAATACCGCAAAAGAAAAATCACAAAGATTGTAAAATAAATGTCTAAAGTCTCAATTATGACCCGCTTTTCCTTTATGGTCAAATTCTTTACATTTTGCTAGCCTTTTATATTTAATTTATGTTTTGTAGCAATATTTATTTTGTTTGTAATACACACAATCAAATTGTAGATTCATATATTTCTTTAATTAATTTTACAAATTAATTATTAATTTTCAAAACAAGTTTTCACAGAAAGTAACTGGTTATGACTTCTTAGTGCAAGATATGGCATCGAGGTATACTTACCGTTAACAGTTTAAGTTTTGAAGTTGTTCATTACAGTAATGGAACAACGTTGCCATATGATGCATACGGTGCAATATGATACATACAAGTCCCCTGGCTTTGTCTCGCTATGACGACATGCGCAAAGTCAATTAAAATTAGAGCAGCAAGTGAGCATATCTTGTTGTTATAGTATCATGAAACCGCCTAAAACTTTACCATATCAAAAAAACACGAGAAGATAGAGTAAGAAAAGGAGAGATAAAATCATAAAAGGGAATTAAAAAAGATATAAAATTTAAAATAAAACAGCCAGTAGAAAAAAAGTTCTGACATTTATGGGATATACTATAAAACTATTTTCAATATAAGAATGAAAACTAGGTAAAACAAAACTTTAGAAGAATTAGTATGACAAAGGAAAAAAAATCAACGACAGAAAACTGAAAACAAAATAATTAAAAAATAAATAAAGAAATGCTGCTTATCCACCTAAATATCATAGATATTGTACGCTTTAAAAGCGTAATAAACCATGTAGATAATAACTTTTATCCACTCGACATAGGGTTCATTAAAAAGTTAAATTTAAGTAGCCTTAATAAATGTTTGTGCTACTGATGCCATCTAAACTCTGACATATCTTTACCTATTTTAAATTATCATTGATAAATGTTTGTTAATATTTCCGATTGTTAAACGAGATGTTATTAATTCATTCAAATTAAACAAAATTTAAAATACCCAAAATTCTCCTTTGCCTAAAGTGTTATGTATTATGTATCTTTGTGTTTCTTTGCTAAATATGATAAAGAAGTCAACTTGCAGATGTGAAAAAATAATATACTTAAAAGGTAGTTAGGTAAGCAGGTAGGTAGATTGGTAAATTAACTTTCAAAATTAAACGATACAACGTGACAGGTAGGCAAGGTAAAGGTATGATGTGACAAAACAGAATACAGAAGTTGCGCTTTTATTTTAAATATATTTAAATTATACTTAGTAAGTAATAACTACTAATAAAATAGAATTTTATGATTAAAACCGTTCAACTTACTGTATCTCCATCTTTGTTATCAATAGTCCACTGTTGAAGAGTGATGCCGTGAGAATCTGAAATACCAATACATGTAAGGGGACAATTCTTGACCTTAATATTTTTAAAGACTGAATTTCCACTAGCCTGAATCATCATCAATTGAGGCTTCTTCTTATTGTTGTGGCCACCATGTCCGTCCCACCAAAGCTCTCCACGACCATTTATCAAATGACCTTAAATAAATATAATGATTTGTTTTATAATTTATTAGTAGTAATAGAATATAAATAATAGAAACTAATATCAAAAAAAATTAATGGTTATTTTGTTTTAATTAGTGAAAAATAAGATGAAAACTTAAATGTGTATATTGAAGACTCGATAATGAAACGTATTAATTATCAAAAAAAGTAATAAATAGCTACTTAACGCAGAAGAGTATAAAACAAATAAAAAAGAGCGTATATTGCCACTGATACGGCTTAAGATGAATGTGTGGGCTCAATCAAAATAAAATAAGAACAAGTTCAAATAAGGACTGGAAGTTATAAAAATACAGATGATGAAATATAATTTTAGAAAGAGACTTAATGTAAACATTCTTTTAAAAATTTTATTGCATACATAAAAATGGCTGATTCTAAGTAATAGTAATTGAAAAAAAAATTGAATAATAGAACAATGTTAGAAGCAAAGGAATAAAAACAGATGTCATTAATGACAGTTTACGTTAGTGTAAACATCAATATATATATATATATATATATATATATATATATATATATATATATATATATATATATGCAACCAATTGGTTGAATTAAATAACCCGTCCACCCGCATATTTAGAAACACTATATATATATATATATATATATATATATATATATATATATATATATATATATAAATATATATATATATATATATATATATATAAATGGAGTTGAGGTTAATTGGGTATACAGCTGATTAAAAGCCAAGTGCACTCTGTTTAACAGTTTCGCCAATTTTCATTGGCATCATCAGACGAAAGCTACAATTATTCAAAACATGGTAAAAATAAAAATAATAAAGTAAAAAAATACATTCAATAGTTGTTTGTTGTTTTTAAAAGACCTTTCAAATGATGTATTACAATACCCCCCTTTCTATTCAAAAATTTTAGCAATGACGTCATCACGCTCACATAGATGACGTCAAAAATAAAAATGGTTTCTTACGAATAGCTTATTTAAAATTAAAAATCGACGGGTTTCAGAATTTTTCCTTAAAGTCTCCGGTTTACGAAATAACGAATTTATTCCTTTCATTTCCATCATATTGTATATATATATATATATATATATATATATATATATATATATATACATATATATATATATACATATATATATATATATATATATATATATATATATATATATATATATATATATACCTAGGTCTCTGCGTGTGTACACAATAAACTCATTAAATTTGCCTTACTGTTTGTTCCCTGTACCGTGATTCCGTTTCCTTTAATCCACATCAGTGGACCATCCCACTCCTTGTAAGCAAAAGCAATATTTCCATTAAAAGTCAGAGTAGTACCAGCTTGTAAATGTAGTTTTAAAGTTTGCCCGGCAGGTACTGCAAAGCTTTCAACAGTTATAGATTTGCATTGGCTAACGACAGAATCAACATGTTCGTACCTGTCAATTGTACAGCTTGCTAAAAAATGCAGAAATACGATTAGTAATAAAATAATTACATATTAAAATTAATTTCGTAAAATCGCAGTTTGTTACTTTCCAAGTTACTGCTGACTTTTGTGTTTTGTTTGTATCGCTATTGACTAATTGCCAAGATAATTTCAACCACACCGTGAGATTTATTTATTTTTCTTAAACTATTTGTTTCTTAAATCTCAAGTGTACACTTAATTTGTGATAATATGAGAGATCTGATTAATATGAGAGGTAGATAAAATATCTTTCAACGCGTGCGATTAGATTTTTACAATCAACATGAAAATATTTGCTTTTTGATTAAACATTTAATTTTTTTGGGGTAACAAGTTATTTTTTGTTTTTAACTCTTAAAAATTATAAATTAAAAAAAAATTTTAAAAATATATAAACAGATAGAATTTTTTTTTAATTTGGTTACATTTAAATATATTATACAGGGTGATCAACTTTTGTGATAAAGTCCGTTAAATTTGTAGGAGCTACCAAAAAAAAGTTATTTAGAAACATAGGATATAGCTATAAGCTTTACATTTTAAAATTAGATACCGATATACAGGATCTTTCAGAACAATTTACCGCATCAAAGATATGTTTTTTTTTTAATGAGATATCCTGTATTTTATTTTAAATTTAAAATCCGACTCACTTCATTGTTACAAGAATACAAAGTTGTTAGAATAAGAGATATTTAAAAAGTTGTATCCAAATTTCAATAAAAATTATATCAATTTCAACGTCCTGTATTGTTAAAAATTGGTCCAAAAGCAACGATCTGTTGGTGCTTGTAAAATAGTTGTCAAAATTCATAAAAAATAATAACAATAGTCTTTAAATTTAGTACAATGTAAGTAAAAAAACACATCTTTATTTTCTCCGTATTTGTAAATACACCACCCTGTACTTTATACATCACCATAATGTAGTAAAAGGGGGGTATTCCATTAATTAAATTTATTATTTTTATTCAATTTTCTACTTAAAACTATCTTAAAGCAGTATACAAAAAAAATAAAAAAAAATAAACATTTTTATTGCACAAATCTTCGAATTTTGCTCCCATAGTGCCACGGTTTTAAAGTATATTTTTAAATGATGTACTTACGTGTGTAAGGTTTTGTGTTTTAACATTATGAAATGCGTTTCTAACTCTGACTTTTGTTTAATTCTGGTGATCTAAGTGGCCAATAAATTGGTCCTTCTCTTCCTATCCACCTGTTACGAAATTATTTATTCAATTCTCCTTGGATAAGTGAGTTATAATAAGAATGAGCTCGGTATGTAGATACCATAATTGGAGACGAATGGTGAGCGACACAAGCAAGTAAAATAGCTAAATTAATATTTAAAGATATCGAATTTTTACCGTCGAGCTGATACAAATTTTATTGAACATTGATTTCGCGCAAGTAACTGAGATACAAAATTGATGGTAGCTTTAAGCGTTGTTTCTAATATAAACATTCCACACAAAAAATGCTTATAACCATTTTTGATTAAAATTATCTCAGCTACATTTTTTATTTAAAACATTTTTTTCTACGGTGTACAGATTCTTGGTAAATCGATTTTTTTGTGTTTTTTAACCACCTGTGAGAGGTAACTTTTTTGCATCTTTATTTGGGGCTCAAAATTAATGTTCTCTGTAAAATTTAGCTTGTTAGTATGATTTTTAGGGGTCAACACTCTAACGACTGGACTAATAAGTTCTTTATTTAATGTTAAAATTTTTTCTCTAAGATGTTGTTTTCTTTTAGTGTGTAGCTTCAAGATATTTTTAAATAGTAAAGTAAATAGAAATAATAAATATTATTTATCAAATACCCTTTTTTCATTGTAATTTAAAATATCTCCAAAACTAGTACGTGCGGGCTTAGGAAATACTAAAGACAAATTAAACTACATCCACTTTGTTTTATGATGGTGATATAAATTACAGTGTGATGTATTACAAAATAATGACTTTTTTAAGATAGCATGTATTAGCTTTAAAGAGTTATTTTCATAGATTTTTACAATCATTTAAAACTATAGATTTAACAGGTCATTGTTTTTATACCCCTTTTCAATACAGAACTTTATACTTGTTAGATTTTCTTTGAAATTAGTTATAACTGTTAAAACTACGTTTACAAAGTAAAACAAATTGATATCTTTGCAACGAAAAAGTAAATACACCAGTCTATTTGAGAAAAAATAATTGGTTTAACGTAAAAATCTTATACATGTATTTGAAGGTTCTAAAAGGTATATGAAAACATGATGAAAGAAGGCGGATAAAAAATCCGTGAAGGCATACAGCTTCTTTTACTTTGTTTTTGTTTTTAAAATCTTAAAAAGTGAAAAAGTCATTTTTTACGTACAAAACGATTTTTATGCGTGAATGTTACGGACTAGGGTTTTCTACTCACGATATGTGTAAAGTTGTTGTAGATATTCGTATAGAGTAGATAAAGATTGGACGACTGGTTTCGCTATTTACAATGTATAAAGCATTATTAGGCCCTCAATAAACTAAAGGATATCAATAAAAGGAATCACTAATATCACACAAAAGCCACTTTTAATTTTAATTTTTAACGATCATTCAAAGGTGTTTTCATTTTATAGATAAATGTGTTCCTCTATGTGTTTGTCCCTACATAAAACAACCAATTAAAAAATTTTAGTACAAATTTTAATGCAGTTTAACAAAGTCTTAAAAGAATTATTATGTTGGCAAGATATAAATAGTTACATATAATAGACCACATAGGCAACATTTGTCAAAGGTCAGTTTTTCCAACAAATAGCTTGAAAAATAGTTTAAATAAAAATTGTAAAGCTTAAAATGTTCTTAAATTTGTGAGTGTCTAAATTAAAATACACAAAGAATTTACCAAAATAGTTGCAGTAATTTATTAAGGTTAATTACTTTGTTTTTTACTTAACGGTATGTAACTATGTGCTAAATTTCAAATAGATCGACCAAATAGTTTAAACGTTATTTGATTTGTTTACCCCGGAGTGCGGTTATTTAAATAACTGTTCTTGCCAAGTCACTACCAGTCAAAGTATTTTGGAAATTGCAATATAGGTATTCTATAAGGGTACGTTTTTAAGGTATATTACAAACTAACTGCAACATTTTATTAAATTTGTTATTAAAAAAACTTATTTAAAAAAGAACTTACTTTTTAGCTTATAAACTATTATAATAGTATGAGAAAAGGCAGCAAATATTTGATTTCACGCAAACAAATCCTATGTATCTCTTGATACGTATTTCGACCTAATAGGTCTCGTCAGAAGAGCTATTCATAGGGTTTCTCAACGTGAAAAATCAATATTTTCTGCCTTTCAAGAAGCAACAATAACATGGCTTCGATACGGACGCAGTAGCGACATCTAATTAATTGTGTTTCGAAACTATTTTACGATTATTATAATAGTTTTGACATTTTTTAGGTCAGACGTTTGTTAGTAGTTTCATTGAACAGCTGGTGTAAAACCACCCTTTCCAAAAAAAAACAAATCTTTTATGACCAATAGGAAACAAGATAATTTTTTTTTCTAAAATTCATATTTCTTTTATTAATTGACATTAAGAACTAACTATTAAACAAATTATAAATAGAGATCTAAATTTTCTACATTCAAACCTATTAATGGCTATAATTTCAAGTAACTATATTACATGTCGTTATGCAAAAAACAAAATTATTAACATTTATAAAGTATTGCAAAAATAATGGTTTTTTACAACTATCTCAGTTAATTGTTGATGTATGTTAATTTGGACATTCCCAAAATTACATAACCTCCACTCCACTCCACTGAAAAGTCGAGTTAGTAGTATAAAACATTTCATAATTTAAATGTTAGTTATCGAAAAATGCCTTTTTCTCGTTATCGTTATTACATTATTGTTGTGTAGTTGGGTTGTAGAATAATTGGTTACTTAGCAGAAAAGAAAATAATGAGTAAAACCTATACATTACTGTAAAATAAATATTTTACATACCTGTGGCATTTAATGCACGTGCTGTACTGCAGAGAATGAAAACAAAAAATAACTGTAGAGCTTTCATAATGTAGAGGAATACTACTACCTATGGTTAGGTTTACTTTCCCAGTAATATATATTGTTACAATCACTAGATTAAATTTAAAAGAGTCATCAATAATATTCTTTGATTTAAATATTTATCTTAAGTAGATCTATTTAAGAGTTAGTACTATGTATCAGGTAAATAACTTTATTTACGAACTTTGCTATACATTTTAGTATTGTGGTAAAAATCATAATTTTTTATATATAAATTAATAACAGTTTTTTGTTAAGAACTGAGTATACAATTTTTCTACAAATCTAGATTTAAATATTGGATGACTGATGACATTTTACACATGATGGACCAAAAAATATTAATTAAAAACAGAGACGCGAAGAAATACCAAGAAATCAACCAAACAACTAAAAAAAATACGAAGAGCCAAGGAGACATAGCTGCAAAAAAAATGTAAACTAATCGAAGAGCTCCAAGTTAAACACGATCATATAAACATCCACCGAAAGATTTGAGATGCCACTGGTCATAATTAATGAGAAAAAGGTAAAATGGGCCATATTGTGCTTCAGTCCTTTCAAATCGCCAGGACCTGATGCTATATATCCAGCCTTACTACGGTGAGGACTGGATATCCTTTTGCCGTATCTCGTGAAAATATTCAAAGCTTCTTTGGCTCCAAGATATATTCCTAGGAAGTGAGGAGAGCTACGTGTGGTCCTTATACCAAAACCAGGTAGGATGGACTACACCCTACCAAAGGCTTTCCGATCAATTACCCTAACATTCTTTCTGTTGAAAACGATGAAAAGGCTATGCGAGAGGTACATAAGGGATGAAGTTCTGGTCAGTAATCCACATCAGCCAAATCAGTACGCATATACTTCGGGAAGATCTACCGATTCTGCACTGCATCATGTGTGCGAAGAATTGAAAGATGGCTGAATAATAAGGAATCCACCCTAGGTATATTCATAGACATTGAGGAAGCATTTGATAAAAACCAACAATTTTTTAGGAAATATTATACTGTGATTTTTGAAATATACAGTGAAACATATCTATAAGTGTGTCGAATGGATACACATTTTCCGGGTTAATATATTTAGATCATAGTTAACAAATAGCTTTTTTGATTTTATCACTGTCCAATATGGAGTTCTTCAATGTTCGATCTTAGGACTCACTTTGTTTCTTATTTATCGGAACAATTTATTTTACTATACTTTTCCTATAACATGTGTGTACTTTACAGATGATCGAACAACTTTACAAAGATCTTTCCAGCTCTTAATATTAGTAATATTAATTAACACGATATAAAAATAAAAATGGATAGTAATACTTAGATAGCAAAAAACTGATTTTTTCATAATGGACTGAAGCTAAATGAATACACAAATCAGAATTTGATTTCTAGTTGCGATTGGAAGGAATCTTTCTAGACTATAATTTGGATTTGAGTGCTTATACAGATTACTTAAGTTCTAAACCTGCTACAAGTATATTTTTAATACGCAACTTTGTTTATATTAAAGTACCCTTAGAATGTGTTACTTTGTACTATTCCATAGCCGTTTATAGTGCGGAATAACTGTTTGGGGTGGTTCTTGTCACGCAGATTGAATGTTTTAACTACAAAAAAGAGTAGTGAGGATACTTGCAAAAGCAGAGTATAGGGAATACTCTAAACCTTTATTTTTGGATTTACGTATTATGCCACTACCGTCACTCTATAAATATGGAACGCTGATTGAAATTTATGCCAACGGTAAGTTTAACATAAAATCAAACTTCCGTGATCACGATAACAGATCTAGAAATGTTATTGGAGCACATCGTTTCAAGTTGACAAATAGTAGGTATAAAGAATTCGACTGATGTTGGTTTGTATAACTTTTTACCAGATAAAGTTAAAAGTCAAAAAAACGTTATTTCTCTTTAAAAACAGAATATCTAAATACAGCTTTTACACATTAGTACTAGTTTGATCAGGGTATTTGCCTATTATGAAAATATTTCATGTTTTTATATTTTTATTTAGTGTGTTTGTTCTTTCTTAAATTGTTACTAATAAAGCCTTATACTGTATAAAAGTGATTGTACCTATTGTTTTGAATTGTCAAAAACAAAACAATTTTTATATTATACCAGTTTAATATTATGTTCTTATTGCTTAGTTATCACCTACATAATAGAGTACTTTATACCCATGCGGGCTTGAAGTGCTTTTTATAGCCCGCATAGGCATATCTAAAGACAAAAAAAATTGATAACTTGTTAATAACATTTATTATTAAAGTTACAAAATGAGTAATTAAATTATTATAACTATATAACATTATCTAGTAGAGTTCACATAAAACTGGCAATTCTGGAAATGTGTCTGTGTGTATTTTATTGGCACTGGTTTTGACAACCAACTGGCCAGTAAATATTTTTTAGGTTTAACAGCCCCAGATGTTTATTTATGATCATATATGACATCATTAACCTAACGACATTGCTTACGCTACTATGATAATTATGCTGAACTTTTAAAAATATTTAGATTTTAAATACAATGACAAACTAGTATGACAAAAGTTTGTATACACCGTGGGCATTAATAGATGTGTATACCTTCGGGCAACTTACAAACACTCAGGTCAGTTGCGCTTATGTTTTTAAGTTAGTCGCCCTCAGGTATAAACATCTCTACTTAGCTACCAGCTTTCTAGTATTGACGGCCATCTAGTGCAATTTTTTTTGGAAAATAACCTCGGTAGTCCCAGAAAACATCTTCGATGGACATTTTCCAGGTTACCAACTTCTCCTTAATTGTCATCGCCAGATTTCCGTCTTTGTTTATAAAGAGATGTATAGAGGAAGGGCGAGTTAAGTTCCACAGCACTTAGGACACAATTGGCCCATCGTGCATCCTCCCAGAGAGTTGTCGCCCTTAGCTCATTGCCATCCAGCAATTTCTAGGAAGGTGGACCAGTCACCAGGAGACACCTCTCTTATGTGGGCAGGTTTGGGCCAGGACTCGCCGAACGCGCACTTTCGTATTAACGATAACTCCAATCATTAACATAGGACATGCTCTACAGTTTCGTCTTCTCGTTCACACTTTCTACATAGAGATTTGTCTGCTAGCCCCAGTATGTGGAGGTATTTGCTTAGTTGACAATGACCAGTTAAAAAACCAACTGTCAAGCGTAGGTTTTTCCTGGTCATTCCCAAGTACTTCTTTGATGCTGACTCTTCAAGGTTACTTAGTGTTACCCGGGCAAGTTTACATCCTTAACCTTCTTCCCATATTTTGATGGTTTGTGTATGAGAGTGACATTTGACAATTTCCGTGATTGTTGTAGTTGACCAACCAAAGAGATTCCCAGGTCGTAAGAGTCATAGGGCTGCCACCTTCCTAGCTAATTGGTCATTAATGCGGTTGCCTTTATTCCTATTATGTCCTTTAACTCACCTCAGGATGATGGTATTACCATCCGAAGCTCGGTACACTCGTTACACTCTATTACTAACCCTGATTTTACATATGGTCTATTCAAGATTAGTAGCACTTTTGTGCTATGATTGCAGATCATTATAGTTTTCCCTGCTATACCTTTTTGGATTATCTCTTTTGCGGCTATGGAGATACCGCCAGTTATGTCTGAATTACGCTAACATTTTTGACCATACTCCACGTATGTCTTAGGTCAAGTGATCTGGAGTATATCCCGCATCCTGAGCCTTCTTTCATTTTGGAGCCATCGGTGTATATACAATAGACATTTGGCACTTTTGTCTTTCTATACTGTCTTGTTTCGATTTTGTAGGGTTTGTTAAAGACAAACTTTGGTTTAATTGAGCCGCAGCCTGCCTGTAGAAGTAGTATGCATTCAGCTCTCTCTGCCAGAAACGAGTTCCGAATTGTCCCATTTCTACATCAAGGTTTACATCAGCCGAGCGCAGTCGCATTATTGTTACTAGCGCCACATCTTTGACATATATATATCTAGAGGCGTCATACCAATGATCAACTTGGTTGCAGCAGTTCGTGTTGTTTTTATGGCACCTGATATATTTATGCAAGCCATCCGCTGAATATGATTTAGTTTGTTAATCGCTGTTGCCTGTAGCACATTTGGTACCCAGACAATAGCTTCGTAAGTTAGCATTGGCCTCATGACAGCAGTGTAGACCCAGGCGATCACCCTAGGCGAAAGGCGCCCGGTGCGTCCGAGTATTAATCGACACTGCTTATAGGCAAAATTTGCTGTTTTAGCTTTCCCCTTTAAGTGTGAGTTCCATGTTACCTTCCTGTCAAAGGTAATACCAAAGTACTTTATCTCGTCAGAAAAATTTAGACTGTAGTTTAGAATCTTTGGGAGTATTAAGCCCGTGATGCTTCTTTTTCTGGTAAAAAGTACCATATCTGTTTTCTTATCTTTAATGTTTCTTATCTTTGATGTTATGAGATCAACTTGTAATATCTCACATAGTGTGTTTTCAAACTTATCGCTTTGCAGGACAGAAATATCGTCTGCATAGGCTATTGTGTAGAAACCGTTGCTGCTGAGTTAGTCAGAGTATCTAGAACTATGTTTCAGAGCAATGGTGATAGCACCTCTCCCTGTGGATACCCTATCGTAACCATGCCTCTTCTTCTCAACAGAAACGTCTTCTCAATTTATGCTTATTGCTTTATTAGAGACCATACTGAATATCCATTTACTTGCGGCCATAGGAACATTCCTGACGAGCTGTTGAGTTTTGGTTGAAAATTTGTTAAAAACTTTTCGACTTTAAAATAAACTTATTGGAGACAACAACTAAATATTTTGAACTAATCAAAATTAAATATAAAACAATAAAATTATTTTTACTGGCGCAACTGGACAGTATGCGTTCGTCGGACACAATTTGCTTTTCGATGCGGTTACGATACTGGTCATCAATAGTTATCGTCGGTCACGTGCAGTAGTACACAAGCTCTGACTATTTTGACTTATGGTACAAGCACATAATACTAATCACAACAAGACTCGAAACGGTGGGCTTTTTCGCAATCCAAATTTCTT